ACTCACTTGGCACCCGATGGATATTGCCAGTGGCCAGGAAGAATTACCAATAGAAGCTGGTGGAAACAGAGAATAAGAGGAATTCTACTTAGAAACACCTGGAACAGCATTATCAAATGCAACGCCCATGCTTATTAATCGAGATATGGACTCAAAACCGAACTTTACCCACACGAATGATTTTAAAATGAAAGTCGCGAAACTTGATAATCCACTTTAATCCCTAAGTGAATACGTATTCAAGTAAGGCTCAGACTCGAGTCTTTGCGTGATATATACATCAAAATGATTTTGAGAACTTGCATATGTTTGTTAAAGGAATGTAATCGATAAATTTGTGTCTGAACTATACTCCCTACAGTTATCCTTGTCATTTTTTAAGGCTCATGTTCTTGGCACGAAAATATTAGAAGAAACCTACGCCGACTCAATATGTGCTATTAAACAGTAATCAGGATTTTTCTAATTGCAGGCGTTATTAATTGTTATTGACAAATGCATTTATCCTTTCTTATAGGATGAGTTATGAAAACTTGAGATACTGTTATAACAGTCGTACTCTAACCGATATCAGAGAGACCTTACAAGTCAAAGCGTGTTTTCCTCCTAAAGTTTTTTTGGCTAAACCAGCTTTTTAACTATACTACCAGTAACAATATTATTGACGGGGTTTATTACTATTACTCCGGAGTGCCACATGTGATGCAAAGTTACAAAAACTATAACAAGAAAATACTTTGTTTTCTCTTACGAATGCTGACGTGAATGTCACAATGTAATATCAAAAGTTTGTGGGAAATTGGGATATTGTAAAAGCAATATTTTAACATATTTCTATTAATTACTTTCAAATTCAATTTGTAGTCGACCTGTGTTCTGAGTAGTGCGTGTTTTCTTTTTTGTCTGCGATTTTTTAATTGTTTCGGCGATTTTGTGTATTTAACTCGTGTCTTTCCAGTGTTTTTGCAAAAACTAGATATCGCGGATACCGTATGTGCTTTTTTACATATAATAAAAAAATAGAAAAACAAAAAACAAAAAAATAAAAAATTGAAAACAATTGACGTTTTCTTTACTAGTTCCGAGTGAATAGTCTTTTCTCAAATTACTAAATAATAGACATAAGGCATAATGACCTCGTGGCCGCCAGATAAAAACTCAAACAGATTTTATCTATTAGCGGACATATCCCCCCAAGGAAAAAAAAATAAATATTCGGACTTTTCGGTGTTGCCAATGAGTAAAATCACTCCTGTTGACAAAAAATATGTTGTTATTTCTTCAATTGATACTAGCATAACAATTTCACAAATCAGTCCTTTTGCTGTAAACAAAGCCCTAGATAGCATTACAACATATATAGACCCTATCTCGATTCTACGTAATGGGAATTTACTTGTCCGCGCTGAGAACCCGCGCGCAACTGGAAACCTCCTGAAGTCGAAATCATTAGCTAATTTATGTGCTATTTTTGCCAAACTTCATCCCAACCTGAACTCGGTTAGAGGCGCAATTTATGCCCCATACTTAAAGCATGTGCCGGAAGATGAAATAGTTCGCGAAACGGGCAATCAAGGAGTGACTGAAGTCCATAAGTTCACTAAATTAAATGGCGACGGAAAAACCCGCTCTCCTACAGGAAGGATTATTATGACCTTTGATCGGCACCGGTTACCGCAAACTGTTGATGTGGCTTGGTATAAATATAAAGTAAAACTCTTCACTCCAAATCCCATGAGGTTCAAAAACTGCCAACGGTCACACCGCAAATAGGTGCACCAGTGCTCCATATTATGCTAACTGTGGTCTCTCTCCACATGCTGAATGCTGTACCCGTAATTTTTACTTAAATTGCAATGATCAGCACTCGGCGTTAGACGAACAATGCCCACGTTTTATACAAATGCGTGAAATTCTAGATATGTAAACAGAAAATTAATGTAGCATGGGCGAAGCGCGATGCAAATACCAGGAATCCATCTGGAACCCAATGAATTAACAAATGTAATACCTACGCCGCTGTCGCCTCGCAAATCGAGCCTAATAAGCCTTAACTCCAACTCCTTCCAATGAAAAACCTGTTCTACCATCAATCAAAAATTACATTGCAAAACCAGTTCCATCACCCGCCAAAGATAATATTAAAAAAACCAAAACAACAGCAAATATTGAAAAAATTAAAACAACAATACCTATCCTAAGGTCTGACAAACTACATTGCTCAGAATCAACAGCTCTCAACTTTACTCAACAAATTACAAGCTGTAATGAATCCAATCTATCATCCCTTAACCAACCTTCAAATAATTCACGTGCGCCGACTCGTTGCACTTCCTATTGCGACCGTTTCGACGGAAACGCTGATATGTCAACTAACCCACCTACCATTCCGTTTCCATGTCACTACAATTGAATAGTGTTTTTAAAATTCTACAATGGAACATTAAGGGACTTCTTAATAATTTCGATGAACTCCGTACACTCGTAAGTGATTTCAGTCCAACCTTTATATCGCTTCAAGAAACCCATTGTAGAAGCTCTTTTAATCCTATTCCACCCAAATCATTTACTGGATATTTCACCAATGCTGATCAAAATTTATATTCTAAACAAGGAGTTGGTGTCTTTATAAAATCAAGTATACCTCACAAACGCATAAATTTCAGCTCAAACATACAAGACGTACCGATACAAATAACCTTAAAAATAAAATTTACAGTGATTTCGCTTTATATCCCACCTTCACAATCGTTTTCTCAACAAGAACTCAACAACTTATTCTCCGTTCTTTCCCGTCCATTAGTTATATGCGGCGAATTTAATAGCTAGAATACCATTTGGGGCTCAACAGTAAACGACAGTCGTGTTTTAGAAAAGGCCTTCATTCAAAGCAATCTCTGTATTTTAAATGATTGAAAACCAACGCACTTTTCAACTCATCATACTTTTTCGAAATATTGATTTAACATGTTGCTCTCTGTCACTTCTTCCTTTGTTTTCCTGGTCTATTTCTGATGATCTACATAATAGTGATCACTATCCAATCATAATCGATCTTAACCTTTCAAAGTCCTCTGTAATTCCTCCTAGATAAAGCGGATTGGATCAGTTATTCCAAACAGGCCGAGTCATTTCTGAATTCGAAGCCATTTAACGGGAACTGCAACCATGATGCTGCTATTATGTCTAAAGCGATTCGCATGGCTGCTTATTTTTCTATTCCTTAATCCAACAGCTCTTTTAAACGAGCTATGGTTCCTTGGTGGAACAACACGCTCGTTGGTTTTTGAGGAAAAATAAAATGGATCTATGGGAACGCTTTAAGAGATGTCCTGATCATGATCATTTGTTATTCTACAAAAAGGCCAATGCTCTATTCAGGAAGGAACTACGAAAATCAAAGGCACTTAGTTTCGAACTTTTTTCAAAAAGAATTCACAGAAATACATCAAAGAAAGTTGTCTGGAATAAAATCAATGGGACTTCAAATGTGAACGAAATTTCTGCCATCTGTACTTCCAATGGAACTTTAACTGACGCAGATGAGATTTCTAATTACTTTGGAAAAGTGTGGTGCGAATACCCCCGACAGCAACTTTTTCAGTGCTTTCATCGAAAATAAAGAGACTCCAATTTCTCTTTCAAATTGTATTGACAGATGCGCCACCTTCCTGGAAAAATTCTATTTTAACAAGAGTGAATTTCATATAGTACATACAAACTCTCACTATGAAGCACATTCTCTGCGACTGCCTTAAATTTTCCTTGGCTAGAAGTATTGCATTTGAAACGACTAACCCTTTGGACATTCTAAAATCAGCTTCAGAACCGAATATCAATTCTATATATTACTTTATTAATACTACTAATCTCATTATCTAATCTACATTTTATTATTCTTTTTTATAATTAGAGCCAATAGCCTTTGCTGCTAGTGCTCAATGTCTTTTTTTTTCGTCTAAGAAATTATTTCATTAGTCTAAAATTATAATAATAATAATAATAATACTTTCAAATTATAACAGGTTCGAAACTTTACGTGAATATATATTGATCGATTATATTGACTCCCAGTCGGATAAGTGCTAAGTATTTCCTAAATATATGCTTCTCAAGGCGTTAGAATACTTATCACTCTTTTTTAGATGACTGTAAACATTTCTAGCGGTTCGATTTTTGCAGGAATTTCATTGCACCAAATATCAACCTATTTTATACCGTATGTCGCGAACTATTGACAAAAGTATTTTAAAGTAAATAGGTTTGTAAACAGATAATACCCACCTTAAACTTGAAGGGTTTAGGTTCAAGCAAAAACATATTCTCCAATTTTTTTTTTTTTTTTTGTTTAAATTTGTTAGAGTTTAAGCAGCAGAAAGATTTATGGTCGCAAGAGCAAACGGATAATACTGAATTGATTTGAAATCTTGAACTGTTACGTGTGAATTTATATAAATTTGGAAAAGTTCGCCATTTTTGTGCAAAAATTATCATTTCACAAGATTTCGAAATTAAAGTAATGCGTCTAGGAACAACCCCTAAGTTTTACGAAGAACAAAAAGACAAAGAAGAAACAGAACCGTCTGTGTCTTTACTCATAGACCAACGGACGAGAGGTATACGTATATGTTTTATGAAAATCTATTTAGTAGACAGATCCATTTTCCAGGGTTTCTATGCAGCTAAAGAAATTCAACGTTCTTCGTTTGAAGAGCAATAACAACAACAATAGCCAGAGCACGCAATACCACTCTATTAAATAACCGTTACATCTGATTGCAATATAACAATTTAACAAAATACCTAACCATATGTTCTGGTTGTTGTTGTTGTTGCTGGTTTTGTCGTGATATCGGAGTGTTACTATAAATAAATTAAATTAAATCAAGCACGTATGACAAATTGTCATCCATATAGAAACACATCATAGTCGGTATCACAGGCAAACTGAAAGAGCCCGAATTAAACGAAATAGAAAATAAGTATTCAGTCAGGAGAGGGCTGTAATGTCTACATACATATACGCATGCATGCGTGCATTGGAAGGGTGTACAACACACACATATTTCGATATTAAAACAGTATTGTACAGCATTTAATATGATAAATAAATTGTCTATTTCACAGCGAATTAGTCAGGGATCATAAAAAACGTAGAGAAGAGGGAAAAACGGGTATAGAGAGGAGCTAAAGTAACGCATTACACTATGTATGCTTTATAGCGGAGATTTCGTTAATTCTTTGGTTTGCGAATTGAGAGCTATTACAATTGAAAAATTCTCATCCCTTTCCATCAGCCATCGAGAATTTGTATTATTTCACTTCTTACTTGTTAAGCATAAAATATAATGAATGCTTAGAGAATTACTCTTCTAATGTAGATAGCGATAGATCAGTAATAAGTAAAGTATTTATACAAATAATGAGCGGTCTCGGTCCGGCGGCATGCTGGCTGGCGCATAAACGCCTTGAATCATGGTCACGCATGGCCAAAGAACGCGTCGGCGCTGTTAGACGTGTTACTTTAGATCGCAACTCGGAAGAATTACCTTCAACATCGGCTATCGTCAATGATGACGACACAATGGCAAGTAGTGCGGCGGCGATCTTAACTAAACAACCAGCTCTACCCATGACACCACCACCATCGGCCTCGTTCATAATGTCGACTACTAGCGATATTGATAGCGCAAATGATAGTTGCGATTTACAAGCCGATATGAAACAGGTGGTTAAATTATATAAAATATTTTTTTAAAAGGTTTCTCATTATATCAATACTTTTCAATTTCACATTTTCTCTTATGATATACTTACAGGAAATTAATTTCGCAAAAGAATCGCAGCCGGTACAACCAGCTTCCCAAGCAAACGCAACGCATACCGCAAACGCTGATGTTTTACGAGGACATTCGGAGGTTTTGAATAGTCCTTTGCATTTACATCATCAAAATCGTTCGTTTACCCCTAGGCTTAAACGAACACCATCCATTTCCAGCCAAAGTAGTGTTGATAGCGCTCCATCTAGGCAATCGGTAAGTTTTGCCTCTCACTGACCTAACTGATAAATAATGTTTTATCCTACTGTTTATATAAATTCTCAGTGCCATCGGGGCTCTTCTCCACAGATACGCACTTTCGGTCCCGATGGGCGTATTTCCTTACCTACAGAACCGGCATTCCCCTATTACGTAAGACGACATTATGTTCCATTTCAAAAATGAATAAAAATCCACGTTTTTTTTTCTCCTCTTTTATAGTTATCACGTACTTCCAGTCCTATGCGTACAATATCTTTAGATGCCCGTACTTCTAACCAAGTGGTTACAGAAATAAATGATATGCGTAACTCGAGTACATCTCAAAATAATTTGCCAAGCTGCTCCATTAACAATACAAGTCCTCCTTATTGTTCGAAAATAGCAGGAGGACGTTGCATTTCACCTCTCTTAATACCACCTCGTTTGCCAGCCAACGTTGATCCCGCTTTAGGGCCAGCTTCACCTCTGGGAGCTATACAACCCGACCTGTACAAAGGCCCCGACGGCCCAATATATCTAAATGCGCCCGAAACCAATCCAGCATTGGGCAGACTCCATTTGCGCATTAAATATGATTATCATCTATTTGATCTAACCGTGCATTTGATTGAAGGCAAGACCTAAGCAAATTTCGAAAATTTTTGTGAAGTAATTTTATTATCGATTATTAGCGCACAATTTGTGTCCCATTGAGGAAGGAGGTTTTCGCGATCCTTATGTTCGTTTATTTCTAGAGCCTGAAGTAGACAAACGTAAACGCCAAACAATAATACATCGCGGCCAAAGTAACCCCTATTTTGATCAGCATTTCAAATTCCCCGTCTCACGAGATCAATTGCATGGCAAAGAATTAACTTTGCAACTATTGGACTACGATCGCTATTCGCACAATGATGTCATAGGCGAAGTGAGAATATGCATTGATGAATTGGATGTAACAAAATCAATAGAGGTAAATAATTTTTTTTTTTGTTTAAAATATCGGAAGATAAGAAATAGTCATATACTTCGATTCAATTTAGATCTGGGGTGATTTATTGCGTACTAAAAAGCCTCCAGAAGATCGTCCAGAGCTTTTATGTTCCTTAAACTATTTACCGCAAGCTGAACGCTTAACAATAGTTATAATGAAAGCCAAAAATTTGGATACTGTACAGGAAACTTATATTAAGGTAAACAAACACACAGATTTCTTAAATATGTTAAGAGTTATGTATTGAGAACACGGAATATCTTTTTTTTAGATTTATTTAATACAAAATGGCAAGCGAGTGAAAAAGAAAAAAACCACTATCAGTCGTTCCGATGACGCCGCTAATCCAATATGGAATGAAGCATTTACTTTTAATTTGCAGTCATCCCTTCTAACGCATGCAGCTATCGAGGTAGAGTAGTAAATCAAATTTATCCGTTTAAACTTTTAGGAAAAAAAGTGTAGGAGAAAACTGAAATGATGCTATGTGTTCACCTTAAAACGCAATATTTAATTCTCACCACCTATATGCAAGGTATTGTTTGTTAAGATCTGAAAAAAATGCAAGTTACAGCGCTGCAATTGGACAAAAGCGTCTATTAAATAATCTACGTCACCAAATATCAAAATAATATTAATAAAATTAATATATTTACATTGATCCAAAATATGCCAATTCCATGATGTCTTGAATGCCAATTTTGCTTGCTAGGCACAGTAATATCTTCGGCTTGGAAAGGAAATCCAAAAGGCGATCCAAAATTCTTGATGTTAATTTTTTCGCTAAAACCCTACTATGAATTAATTTTCATTAAAAATCAAGCCTTTTCTCGGAGGTCTTACTACTCAATAGATATCTTATATGGAGTGGGGCCAAGAAATAGCGCCATGTGGTTCCAATTGGGTCCACATAATTTTTTTATTTAATTACTATCATGAACAAATTTTTATCACAAAAAGGTTAACAATCAAAGTGTTTTGGCATATAAGGGTTCCCATGTGATGGAACGGTGTTATCCAAAGAATACACCTACGTGGTGCAAATTCGGTAAGGTAGATATATATGTCAACTTAATATTCCTGGACAATTTCCGTAGGAATGGTTATATGAGAGGAGATTCAAAACCGCCTCGTGCTTTAATGAAACACTCGAAAAAGAGTTAAATACGATAATATCTTGCTTACCCCATCAACACTTGTTGTATAGGGTATATTAAGCTTGTACGGACATATGTAACACCCAGAAGGGCTTAAGATAGACCCATCTTTTCTTATGCCGATCGATTCAAAATTATTTTTTAAATCGTTATGAGCCTATCTGTCCGTCTAATGCAAATAATCTTACACAAGGAGAATAAATAGAAAGCCCTTTTTTACTTTTTCTCCACCGTAATATAGGAAATGAATTTTTTTTATTATTGTGCCCTACACCACTTGCGGTACACGGTATATATATTTTTTTTTAAACGTAGTGGAATCGCCCTGGCAACTAGCCAAAGCCATCCCGAAACAGTTTTCGCATTACCTCGACATGGGCCCTTATGGATTCTTGATCTTCCCTATGTCATCCTACATCCCGTTCTCACCTAAGATTATGGGTTCAGATATCGCCTTCGTGGAGGTTTAGATCAAAGCATGTCTTGCACAACATCGGTCCATATCCTCAATTTTTCGCTATTTATTAACATGCCCGCTAGAATGCTACTTGGCGCAAGTTTACTCGCAGAGATCTGAACAGCATGTTTCTCAAATATGCCTAAACCGGACAGACGAAAACAGTGTGCTGCGTGTCATTGTTTATACCTTGGCATATATGGCATGCATTATCTGCTAGTAAGTTGAAACGACACAGATAACTTCAAAATTTACATTAGAAAAAAACTAACTTGTCCGTGTTTACTCCGCATCCATTATTGTATGATAAGTGTGTATGTCCACCTTCCTTCTGAATCGTCTTCCCATCGTTGCTGTCATATACAGGGTATATATATAACACCCAGAAACGGTTAAGATAAATCCACCGTTTATTGTACTGATCATTTCAGAATCATTTTCCGAACAGATCTAAGCTTGTCTGCCTTGTCTGCCCTATGGTTGTCTAATATCTGTTCATGTAATCTTTGACTCAAGCTAGAGGTCGCAATATTTGCGATATTTTGATGAAATTTGGTACACTGCCATGTTTTAATCCAAGGACGAACGCCATTAAAATTGATGCGGATCGGTCCACTTTTCCGAGTATTCGCCATATAACGGCCTATTTTGAAAACCCATCACATGAAAGAAATTGCAATTTTTAAAATTTTTTGGCAAAACTCGCTCTGTAATATTATTTCAGCATTCTAAATTGGTATGAAAACTTTGGACCTGAGCTGAGGTAATTCTTTGAACCCGCTCTCATATAATGAAAACTGAAGTTCATGCGACAAAAAGATATAATTAATTCTTCATTATATCATAATAGTAATTTAACATAAAAATAGTTAACCACACCAAATTTGGACCATCTCATGTTATGATAAAAATTGACCCATAATAGTAGTTTAACATAAAAAAATTCACTATACTAAATTTTGAATAAGTACCACAAATTTTTGAACGTTTTCTTCTTAGGCACAAACTTTTCTTCTTACGGAGAGTAAGCCTTTATTATATATATTAGTATATTTAGTAAGTTCTTATAAAACCAAGATATAATTTTGGGTTTTATGGTAAAAATAAGGAATGTGGTGTAGGGTATTTAAAAGTAGGCCTAGCCCGACTATAATATTTTCACTTGTTTCTTTATTGGCATTGCTTACAAGATTTCTTTTCATTCCCTTTCAGTTTTTTAAGATACTAATTTACGCAATTCGCATTGCTTGTTAATTTTTCTCTTACTCCACCTCCTCTGCGTCCTACCATAGCGCACACTCACTTAAGAACACAGGATCAGCAAAGTACATTACTTTTGCTTGTTAAGGTTTGATACAGTGTGACGTCATGTCAAGAGACCTTTAGCGGAATTCTTGCCCATGCAAGTAACGTAAATTAAAGAGCAAGCAGTCAGAAGACTACCAATCAATAACGCTACCGTTCTTATTGATAAGAAAGAACCGTCAAATATCCCTGAAATTTTCATAGTTCCAATTTTAAACAATATGTTGAGACATTTTATTATTTAGTTGGCTCTAGTTCTACTCATTCTACCCCATTCATTTAAACATATATATATTTCTAGTGCGAGGCCTTTAAACATACTAATCGAACAAGAATCAGTAATTACGCCCATTTTACTTTTTATTTTCTTCGCTCTCTTATTTTTACAGCGTTTATTTACAATTTACAAATGAAATGAATTGATTTTTTCGTTAATATTTGGTTGGAAAAGAGTTTATGTGCCAACTCTACTTAACCACTTATATATATGTATATATCAGAGAAAGGAATGGATGAAGAAGGAAATTACTCAGATGGAGGAGCGAAGGTATTATATGCGATAGTTCGTGCTTGTCGATAATCCTCAGAGTTGTTTGACTCTCTAGAACATATACAGATAATATGGAGAAAGGAAATTAATTGTAATTTGATAATCCGTCCTTCGCATACGAGATTAACAACTTTTTATATTATAATATAATGAGAGCTAGAAAAAAGGTCGTTTTTCATATTTTAATCGTTTTTTTATTTTGTATTCTCTATTCTATTTTCAGATCTATGTGGTCAACACCGGGAGTGAAAACCAGGAGATTGGCAGCATTGGGTTGGGTCCTCAAGAGTTTGGCACGGGTTGTCAACATTGGCATGATATGATTAACAATGCACGCAAACCGACAGCCATGTGGCATTTTATACGTTAAATGATGAAAAATACACCAACAATATATATATATATATATATACAAATACTCTACAGAATGTTAATATATATATGCATACATACATACAACAATATATATATACAAATACTTTACAAAATGTGGGTATATATGCATGGACACATACAACAATATATACATATATATATATATATATAAACAAATACTTTACAGAATATGGGTATATATACATATATACATCAATGACCGAAAAGAAAAAGTTAAGCAAAAACTCAATAATATTAAACATATATAATTACTTTTTAACTTCACTAATTTAGATCATAAGAGCTTAATTAAAAAGTTAAAAAAAAGTAATATATATGATATATTTTGAAAATATATGAAAAGAAGAATTCATTTATAAATCGGCTGCAAATTTCTATTAGGCATTCCTTTACACACCCTTACAGTTTGGGAAATCAGACTAAAAATTTAGTGTCGTTTTTTTTTTTAAATTCAATTAAACTAATTGGAGTAATTAGTATTTGGTCCAATAGCAAAACAATTTTCATTAAGGAAAAGAGGAAAGTGAATGCGTTCCCTTTGCACCAATTTCTCCTTATAAAGGTCCTATTCAAAGAACAACAACAACATTTTCAATCACTCGAGAATTAGGCAAGTTATTAAGTCTTGTTGCAATCTACATGCGCTCGACTTCAATTTCTTTTAAATTTTTCTTAAAGAAACGATACGAAATGGTCACCCTCTAGAAAACGATAAGTCCGAATTATCACCAGCGCTCTCGCGTGCAAATGTAATATAATTTTTACATATTAATAATACTAATACAATTCATAAAGAGCAGTGATGGCACTTAGGTAAAAAAGACAAAAAGACAGGACAGGCTGTATGCGCGTAATTTCATAGGATTTAAAGTCTAATGATCAGTTATTGAAATGGAGTTTTTTCAGATTTTTAAAGCACAAAATCGATTACGTTCCGGCTCTAGCAAAACAACTCTTTTAATTCTTTTTTTTAATTTTAAGTGAAAATTTTGCGCCTAGAACGCCAAAAAACAATTTTCTGAATATCTGATACGATATCTAGTGAAAATCGGACCGATTGTTTAAAAAAATGTATAAAGCTATTTTGAAGTTTTTTCCTATTTACATTTTGTGAAACAAATCCCTCGAAAAGCGACCTTAGAATCAACAAGTTTTACTTTATCGAAAAAATTGACCGATGTTGACAGGCGGCCCAGTAAACGTCGAAAGCCAGCTCAAAAACATGATTCCCAAAAAAAACAGTTTAAAGTTTCCATAAAAGGGCTGAACTGACTGTTTCCGTTAGATTATCATTTTGGATTCTTCCACTAACGTATAGTTACGCAATACTCTGCCAATGTATTCACTACCGGATGATAATCCGTTCCTTTCATTTCTTAATAACATTATCTTGAACAATTTTCTAGAGACGTAAAGGTATCTAAAGTCAATGGTATCATAAGCCAATGATTTCATTACGCGGTTCATCTCATAAGTCTTTATTCATTCTCTGCGTCAAGGCACGATAGTAATTAAAAAAGTAAAACTTTGCTTGTGAATTGGCCGAATGCGCCCACACTGTCGCACTTTTTGCAAAAGTAAATAAAATCCTTGAAAAATGGATGAAATCAATACGTTTAAGTTAATAAATGTACTAAACATATGCTGTACACTTGTAAACACTTTCAAGCGCAATTGTATCGTATCGGTTTAATAAGATAATGTGATAATTTATTTACTTTTGCTATTGTATATCTGATATGCCGTAAAATAATATAAAAATGCGTAAGTATTAAGACTAATTAAGCTACACTTTAAGGAAAAACAAAATAAAATAAATATGTAAAATTGAAAATATATGAAAAGGAAAGTAATTAACTCTTACTTATATTTTTCACTATTCCCGCGAACCGACCGTCAACTGTAGTTATTGCCACCTATATATTGTAAACTAATAATAATAAAAAAAAAAATATTTCTTTTATATATATTTTTTAAAAATATTTACTACTTATATACAAAGTATTTAATAAACGCCAAAAAGCGATCTTAATAAGTTTACCAGATTAATGCATAATTACATAATTTAAGGTAGTTTTACAAATTTCTTGGCACACATCGACGAGAAAGATACATTTAACTCAGACTCACTCGACTTTTCTAAGCGGCACTTTTAAGAAACCATAACCGTAGCCAGTTTGCTTATTTTTACTCCCTTTGAAATTGGGAACAAAGAGAAAAAAATGTCAACTGCAAAAGACTTTCAGGAAAGGGTGTTTTCTTCTTTAACTTGAAAAAAATTAAATAAAATATATATATGATTGACGAAGTCAAGTCAAGCAAAAGTTTTTAAAATGATTAAGAGCTCTTTTCCAGTAATTACGAGCGAAACGGCATTACGTTGCATATTAATAAAAAGAATTCCATTATACATTCTTCGCACATTAGCATCTTTACTACCGAGTTGACAATTACAGTATGCGCGCACATAAAGGAAATACTTATAGCAACAAATTTAATAAATTTGCTTTTCGTCGTTAATTATGACACGTACCTTTATTTGACATTGTCAAGTACTACGTTCTTTTTTTTTTACTAAAACTTGTATTATTTTTTGATTGAAACCTTTTCGTGTTCACTACTTTCTTGCTTGCTTACTTACTTTTATTGTACTATTATTATTACTTGTTTTCTTTTTTTTTTTTTTAGTACAATAAATACAACAGTAAAGCGCAATGCTTTCCAAAAATATTAAACAATAGCATGCGGTACTTGCGACATGCATGCAATAAGCACTATACATTCGGAAATATATTTACGGGCGGCAAGGCTCTCACTTAAATAGTTCGATTTGTGTAAGCTGTGGTCATACAACGTGCTTAACATACCACAACTGAAGAATATCATATACTTAACAGATTGCCACCCGCTAATGTTTTGCAGAAGTTTATTATGAGACATGCAATGTTTACAAAATATCGTTATCTCAGAAGCAATCAATAAATCATGCTTCTCACCAAAAAGAGATCCTTCGATTCCTGTCACCAGTAAATACCAAATGACAACGAGAAATCTCGTTTCCGGATACCAGCATCAAATGAAATCGCGTTCTCGGGCTTCAATGTGTTAATACAACAAACAAGTAACATTTTCAATAAAAACAAGGGAAAGTATTATAGTCGCGCTAGACCGACATATAAATACCCTACACCACATTGTCTAACCGAATTACTTATTTTTGCCATAGAACACAAAAATTATGTCCTCTTTTTATAGGAACTTGCTATTATGGAACTGTATATTAAAAATTAGAGCTCTTTGCAAATAAGGGCTTACTTTCCGTAAGAAGTAAAAAGTCGTGGTGCCCAAGAAGGAAACGTTCAAAAATCTGTGATACGTATTCAGAATTCAGTATGGTGAATTTTTTTATCTTAAATTACTATTAAGGGTTAGTTTTCATCATCAAATATTAAAATTTCAATTTTTCTGCTCTATAAAGGATAAATTTTCGAAAAAATCGATATATAGGATAAGTGTCTAAAAATAGACTGAGATGGTCCAAATTGAACACAGCTAATTTTTTTAGCTTAATTTATTATGATCTGATTTTTATCATAAAGCATTGCAAGTTGTACCTTTTTGTCGCATGAACTTCAGTTTCCGTTATATAAGAGCGGGATCAAAATCTGTCACAGCAAGTCCAAAGTACTTATACCAATTTAGAAAGCCGAAATACTCTTATTTAACCACTTTTGTTGAGCAATTTTAAAAATTGAAATTTTTCCATACAACGATTTTTCCAAATAAGTCGTTATATGGCCAGTCTTCGAAAAAGCGGACCCACCCAAACCATTTCCAATAGCGTTCGTCCTTGGGCCAAAACACTATAGTATAGTAAATTTTATCAAAATATCTCAAAAATTACGCGTAGCTAGAAAACAGATTTACATGGGCAGGCATCAGACGGACAGGCGGGCTGACGAACAGACAGAACTAGATCGATAATAAAAAGTGAATCTATCTTAAATGCTTCTGCGTGTTAGATATGTCCGCACAAACTTAATATACCCTGGACCACAAGTGGTGTAGGGCATATATATAAGAGGAAGAGATAATAAGAACGTCCTTTCATATAAGGTTTTAAAATAGCGACTTAAATATCAATACAGGCAGACGAACAAAAGTCATGTACTTTACGGAACGATCATTGTATGTGTCTATGTGTTGAAAAGAGAGAGGGATTTGAGAAACATAAATAGCGTTCATAGTGGCTGCAACCCAGCAAAGTATAAACCGTAATCTTTTAAATACGCCATTACAACGTATCCTATTACTATTATTATCATTATTATTATTATAAATTTAGCCAAAAAATAAATTCTAAGCCTTAAAGCACTAGCATCTAAGGCTTTCGGCTTTATTAAAAACTCTACCGCATTGAGATTTGAACCCACGACCATTGAGTTGCTAGTCGAGACTCTTGCCTACCCGGCCATCCAGGCGGATAAAAAACGTACCCTGAACAGGATTGTTTCTAGAGTTTGACGTGAACGGTTGCATTGAAAATGCCAAATTCTACGGCACTGTTGATGATATATGGGGTAATTTGAAAGGGTAATCATGGCATCACAAGAATAATGGTCCCTAATTGTCGCTAAGGAATAATCTTTAATTATTTACTTCTGTATATGGGCCATAGATGTGGACAATTGCCTCCCTTTAGGGTCAGGCGAGACCTATTTACCACGTCAAATATATAATGTTTCCGCGAGTTTAGAATAATCAGAACCAAGGACACTCCCGAAAAGGTGCACCTGTCTGTCAGTACACGGCTGAAACTGAGGCGGATGATATTTAAGGCATCATAAAGCCCCATAATGTACTTCGTTTTTACATACATCATTTCCACAACGTAACACAAATTACCGACACAGTCCGCCTTGTAGGATACTCTTAGCTCAACTAATGGGACTAAAACGGACCGAAATGTTCATCAAAAAGAAGAAAATTCTATTGATATATCACTTAGCTTGACTATGGA